ACCCCAGGACACCGCAGCAAAGAAGATGGTGCTCGCCACAACAGACTGATAGAACATCTGTAGCATCCTGTTGCAGACATTAAAGGACCTGAGCCTCCTCAGGAAGTAAAGCCCTTCTTATAAACGGCCTCTGTATTTGTGGACCAGTCCAGTTTATTGTCCAGTGTGACACCCAGGTACTTGTAGTTTGTTACTATGTCCACATCTGTCCCACCGATGCTGACAGGAGAGGGCAGGGGCTTGTTCCTCCTGAAGTCCACCACCATCTCCTTTGTCTTTGCCACGTTCAGCTGCAGGTGGTTCTCCCCACACCACTTCACAAAGCGATCAACCAGGCACTGTACTCAGGCCTCCCCTCGTTGCCCCTCCGAGGACACCCTACAATAGCCGTGTCATCAGAGTATTTTTGCAGATGACACGACTCAGGGCCAGTACTTGAAAGTCTGCACTGTAGTGGTGGTGAAGAGGAGGAGGGGAGACAGTACAGTTCCCTGGGGGCCCCGATGTTTACTAATCAGACGGTCAGACACACACAGTTCTTTAATCTCACAAACTGCGTCTTGCCCGTCAGATTAGTCTATCGACCCACAATGGATGTATTAGGGGGAGCACCCCTCCTGGTGCGTGTTCTTCCAGGTTTGGGCCTTCAGCAGTCTGGGCTGGGCATGGTGTTGAAGCGCGCTGGAGAAAGTCGAAAGAACAGTGCGGACGCTTGGAGGTGTAGGGGTCTGGTCCGGAGGCGAAGGAATTACGGGCCTTTCTGCACAGGGTAGGTGATGTGGCCATCATTGCAAGCCCCCAGCATGGAGGTTGATATGCGAACTGCAGGGGGTCTTGCGATGCGCACACTAATGGTCTGAGGTGTGCCAGGACCAGTCTCTCCATGACCTTCATGATGTGAGAGGTCAGTGCTACCGGCCTGTAGTCCTCCAGTGCCACAGGACGTCCTTTTTTGGGCACTGGGACCAGGCAGTATTTAGTAAAAAGGTTTTGCACTTTTAAATTATAACAAGCTGCATTTAGGTGTTTTCTTGCACATCTCTGCCACCAGTCACAAAAACATTTAAAATGTATGCCTCACAGCAGCAGAGCATTAGAGGGTTCAACTGTTCTGTACAGTACACCGTTTGTTAAAGGGGACAGTGAACTGTACAAAAATGTACAACAATGCACAAAAAAACATGGGTTATGGTTAAGCATTATGTTATCAATGCATATTTCTTTTGGTTGAACATTATTTGATTCTTTCTATTGTGTTAAGATCTACTAAGTTCCACACAATTTTTGGGTGAATTGCTGAGATAACAGTTTTGATAAACAGAGCGTCATCAACTAAAATGTGTCTTTCTTTCACTTCTGTATTTCTATATTGCAGTGTTTTTGTTAAAGTGTGGAGAGGGCCGAAGGTAGTTTTTATATAATACCCTGTTTCTGAGAAGAAAATTTAGTGGAAAATCTTTTTGTTTTTCGGATAAAGCTTCAGTGTATTCTTCAGGTAGAAGTCCCAATGTAGTGTAGTTGTTCAGTTTGGCCTGTATCAAGACCTGGTGGAGCCGACCTCTGGGCTTTATTCTGCTGCTGATGGTGAAAGAAGTGTTTTAGCCAGTTTGATTTATGTATTCATGATTGCTGC